ATGTCTCTGATGAAGAATCCGCGACGGAGGGCGAAACGTCAGGCGAATAAAAGTGCTATCCCAGCGGTCGAATCTTCTTTTCGTCAGTTGTACACGCCGTTGGAAGGACCACCACCTCTTCGTCTGCAAGATGAGTCCTCAACTAGAGGCTTGCAGACGACCGCAAAGTAGGCAATAAGCCGACAGGATTTTAGTTACCACGGAAATCTGAAGTTCAGCCCTATATAGCTTCTTCCTTAGTACCACCTGAGAAATGTATAATGTAGTTTGGAAACCTTAAGCGAAGTTGCAACCATAGGTAGGGTTCGAAATTATTTGGGAATTAAAAGGCAAAAAGTTCCTCAAAACCAAAATATACCCTGTAAGCCCATAATTTTTCTGCCAACTGGAAACAGGCAAGATGATTTTTATTAACTTTACTTTATAAGAGCATCAAAACCAATAAAGAAAATTGATACTGTTTAAGTATTCATTTGAACGAGTGGGGTTTATATGGGTGGCCGAAGCAAAACTCAGTTAAAAGCCGGTACCCTATCGTGACGCAAATATTCTGGGATTCTGCTTCACGGTAAAAAATACTATGACCTCGTCTAAATACTCCCCTTTAATCGAACGTGCATTACCGAATTTCTGTTAGCATTTCACAAGATACATTAGGTACTGTAGAAACCCCTGTATTGTAGGTCAGAGGTACCAACTCCTGTGTCCCAACTCTAATCCCCCGTGGAATTGGACGCAATACTACCTCGTAAATGGTAGTAATCATCGATAAATAAATAAATAAAACATAAATTGGCAAGAGACCCGGTGCTAAAAATAAACCCACACCAGAGAGGGAGACTTACGAGGAGTCCGGCTGGAAGACACGGTGACTGCAAAACAGAAGATGTACTGTTGGCCTGTCTAGACTTCCGTGTATAGCTCATGAACATAGAGCGACGGGCGGACATGAGGCCTAGGCCGAGGTAGCTATGAGCATACAACTGCAGCGTGAAAAGGGAAAGAGCATGCAAGTTGAAGTAGGATTAGGGACAAGATATACAAGTAGCATGGTAAAGAATAGAAAGTGCAAGGGTAGGATTAAAATATGGGTAGGAGTGTCTTTAGAGGTCCTGTTTGCCTTTGACATATAATAATAATTCACTTTCACATTTTCAGTAGACTGTCTTTCCCTTTCTTCGTTGAATTCCGCCAATATAAGGTCGAATTTCCATCAAAAGGCATCGGTTGCCTGAGCAACAGGAGTTTATGCTGACGGATTTAATTCTATTTATCTCATTAAAACAACGATAAGTGGCTTTCATTTAATATTTTTTGATCACCTTCAACACAATTACATAATCATTTACAGTCATTAAATCAAGAAATACATGTTTAATCACCAATTCCGTAAGACAGTTGTGCGGGGGAATAGATATAAAGGCGGTCCTACAAGACAACTTTGCTAAAATATGTATCGTGAGTGACCGCAGTAACACGTGTATTTCGTATTATATCACGTGGGAGAAGATAAATCGTGGTTAGGAATTCAGGTAATTTCGAAGATACTCTCTCATAAATTTTAAATGTAAGCAATTTGTTCTAGGTTCCCTGATGCTAGTTAAAAAGATCCCAATCTATTGCAGTATCAGAGGGGCATCGGAAATATTCGTCGTGGGGATATGCGGGTAGTGTTAATTTCCTCCAGAGCGCGTAATGCAGATACTTAAATAAGTGAAACAACCGGTCCTAGGTCAAAAGATACAGGCACCAGGCAAACCTATTTTAAACTAGAGGTCTCCCTTCTTAGAGCAAAAGACAAGGGAAACTACGCATCTTCCTCAATAACAAGCATAAAAATTACTTTTTTGATATATTCTCTTCATAAATTATCGATG